CTCCTGTCCATTTATTTCCCCCTCCCCTCCTGTCCATTTTATTCCCCCTCCCTCCTGTCCATTTTATTCCCCCCTCCCCTCCCTGTCCATTTATTTCCCCCCCCCCTCCCCCTCCCTGTGTCCATTTATTTCTCCCCCTCCCCGTCATTTGTTTCCTCCCCCCCTCCCCGTCCATTTATTCCTCCCCACTCCCTCCTGTCCATTTATTCCTCCTCCCCGTCCATTTATTCCCCCCACCCTCCCTACCTCTATTGTAGCGTGGCCGAGCCCTCTATTGGTCCGCGGGTACAGGTTGCTTTTGTTTCCTGTACCCGGCCGGACTAAAAGGAAGTGAACACTCAGTGTTCACTTCCTGTTAGTCCGGCCGGGTACAGGAGACAAAAGCAACCTGTACCCGCGGACCAATAGAGGGCTCGGCCACGCTACAGAGAGGGAGCTGACAGGTGGGAGCGCTGAGCGCTTCCCTCCTGTCAGCCTCTCCCCATGCTGCGCCCGGGCGGTGCGGTCCGCCCTCATGGACGCACCGCCCGGGCAAAGCTGCAGCCGCCTGAGGCTCTTTACAGAGCGCTCGGGCGGCTGCAGCATTAGGGGGGCCGGCGCTCCTGGCGGCGCCCCCTCCCAAGGGGCGCCCTAGGCGGCTGCCTAGTCCGCCTTACAGGTAGCGCCGGCCCTGTAGTCACCTGAACAACTTCAGCTTAATGAGGTTGTTCAGGTGGGAACTATAGCTCCCTGCAGCCTTTCTCATGTAAACACTGAGAAAATACAGCGTTTACATTGAAAGCTAGGAACACCTCCAGTTGCAGTCACTCAGAGTGAACCAGAGGGACATAATATGCCTCCATCCACTCAGATCTGCTGTGCACGAGCATCCTGTGATTCAGTATCTCCTTCCATTGCATGCAGACACTGAACTTTCCTCATAGAGATTCATTGATTTAATTAATCTCTATGAGGAGATACTGATTGGCCAGGGCTGTGTTTGAATCATGCTGGCTCTGCCCCTGATCTGCCTCCTTGTCAGTCTCAGCCAATCCTATGGGGAAGCACTGTGATTGGATCAGGCTATCACATGTCAGCAGATTGCTTGTTTTTCCTGAGTATAACAGCATGCAGATTTACAGCTTCTGGCTTGAATACAGTAAGATTTTTACTATATTTATGGAGGCATGAGGGGCCCAGGGGGGCTAGATGGTGGTTTTAACACTATAGGTTCAGGAATACATGTAGTTGCACTGGTGACTATAGTGTCCCTTTAAACCAACGAAACAAAAAAGTAAGGCATTTGCCGTTTTGTTTATATTTCATAAGTGGGGCTTTCGTTTACATTTTAGTAAACGAACACGAAAAAAAACCCAGAATTTCATGACAAAATCGTATTTGTACAAAAACGATGGCAGAGGGGCGGGACAGGGCCGCCGGGCTGCATGGAAGCAGACCGACATAGCTCCAAGCTCAAGACCCAAAAAAGGCACTAAAACTGCATATGCACGGCTCCAAAGCCGGAGATATCTACACATCAAGACAGAGAATCGCTCCAGCTTCATTTCAATACCACACACAGTGGCGTACACATGACCCATGGGGCCCCGGTGCGAAAATTGATCCGGTTCCCCGCTCTTACTTAGAGGCAATGCATCTCCTGTCCTGTAGAAGTGACCGGCACTGGAAGAGACAGGGAAGGCAACCCATGTACCTACCGGGTACTGAAGGCTTGGGGGAGGTGCAGAGGGCACTGAGTATGCGGATTCTTGGAGGGGGGACTGCAGGAGCACATGTCGCCCGCGAGTGCCCACCGGACCGCGGTGCTTGTGGAAGGCGGCCTGGACTGAACTGGGGGGCCGGACAGGGACCCGGGGAAAGCAGATGACGCTGGTTGCCACGTGAACTATGTGGGCAACCCGGACACTCCACATGCTCCACAAGCCAACAGGGGCCAAACCCGCACTGCTCTCATTCAGCCAGCCAGATCACACAACCCTTTGTCCTACACACAAGGTTCGAATGGAATAACTAACGCCTGGACTTGCAACAAGAACCCTAACAATGAGCTTCACATATGGACACTCTCCTGCCGCAGTCCCAAGGAGGCCACCAAGTGGAAGCACCCGGAAACTCTTGCGAACATTCAAAATGGCCCATAGGTGATACCCTTACTTGTTTTGCTACACAAATTTGCAGATTATAAATAAGACAGCAAGCTAGCAGACCACTCAGAATGCCTCAGCAGTACATAATGAGGGGAACTGACATGGACAGCTCGGGCAGGCCCAGAGGGTATCAAGCTCTGAACGGAATCTCCACACTGCCTTCACGCCAGCCGGAGCAGTGAGTACCCCAATCCCTGGGTATGGGGTCCCCGCTGTCCCGAGCCCTGTGAGGCAGGTGTGTGCGGACCCACCGGAGGACCAGTGGCTGAGGGGACTGTGTACCAGCATCAAGAGTGAGGCCAGCAGTGGGAGAGACACGGGGGTGCTCACCCTATAGGGCAAAATGTGACGCTGTGGAGGTGCAGGGGGCGGCAGGGCCATGGACTTTGTAGTAGGGTCTAGTGCCCACAGAGCCGCGGAGGACCCAGGCCGGTGGGTGCGGGCCGGTGTGGGGTGAACGGGCAGAGGCTCAGAGACCTGAGGGCTACGCCGCAACAGCGACATGCAAAGCATTACAGATTACAACGCTTTAGACCACGCAGCAACGTGTCAATTTATGTCTGCTGATTGATTATTATTCCTATTATTGCATTTAATTTTTCACACAAACGTTACTTTCACATGTTAGAGATATAACATACTAGGCGCAACCACTGCATTCTATGTACTATGTCTGTTTATATATTTCAAAAGCTAGTACCGCACCGTTAACTACTACTCAATACACTTGTACTCAATCAGCCATGGGTAGAGGTGGTAAACATGCCACCGCAGGGCCCGATAGGAATCATCCAGCCACACCTCAGTCTCAACTAGCATCTCCAGTTCGCTTACCCATTCCTCTGAGGGCTGGTTTCCCAATAACGGCATCCGCAGCTCTAGTTGTTCTGCTTGGCGCTGGTTAGTGGTCAGGATTTCCTCGCACCGGAAGGGTCAAATTTCGTCGATGTCCTCCTTCCAGAGATCGGTACAAAGTGCCACCCTCCACTCTGTCTCTCTTTCCTCTGGGATAGGATACTCCATACTGCGCATCACATCCTGTAGTGGCTGCTGGAGCCTGGCGTCAAAGTGAGATACTGCACGGCCTTGCATCTCTGAAGTAGTGCTGGTTTTCCCAAATCTTTACATAGACAGGGACGTTGTATGAACACTAGCATCGCCTTCAATTTGTAAATCCACGAACTGTGTCTCTGAGCTGCTTTACCTCGCACTAGGACGCCATCCCACCGCTTGCCACCAATGTAACGGATCGCCTGGCACCCCGACTGGGTACCTCCGTTGAAGGATGCTCCTAGCGCTTCCTGAGGACTCCAAGCACTCTGGCAGACACCACAATCACCAAACCGGAGAAACAAATAAATTCTCCCAAGCATATGAATGCTGTAGACAGTTGAATAGGAACCATACGAATAGGTTTACTCTCCTAGCAGTCAAACTGGAACAGCATACAATAAATCCTTCCCCCAATAATGGGACGACACTTCACTTTGAGGGTTAAGCAGGAACTCCCTGTACTGTCACATACAGTCTCTTTTATTCCCATTCCACAAACATAGTACAGCCCACAGGGCATTACAAAACAACCAATCAATCCGTACAATACACCCAGACACTCCCACACAAAATCCTCCCCTCTGCATGTGATATGATTACTGAACACAATGGGTAATCTCATTATCACCAGCAGAGGAATACAGTTTTTACACAATATTTATAACTTCTAAAATATACATGTCACAAACATAAAGCATACATTTTCATAATCAATCCATTCAGGGGAACAACATAGTAAAAAATGGCACGAATCAGACCAGGGGTTCAAAAGTTAAGGGAAAGTCCTTTGTGACTAAATGAAGCATGGCTTTCCGGCCCAAACCAGTTTCAGAGTCTTCCATCCTGGAGATAAGTGAGAAGTAATTCAATTATCTCCCAGGACAGACACAAGACTCCATTAAAGCGGCACTGTCATGCCGAACTTACCTTTCCTCAATCTCTTCCTCTTCTTCCCCTCTCTCAGGATCTGTTATTCTTTTCTTCCTGTCTTCTTTAGTTTTCTTTAAAATCATAAGACAAAGTAGGGACTCTTTGCCTTATGGAGGATTCCTCCGCTTGACCAGCTCTGACCAGCAGAGGAGCAAAGTGTGCTTCATTTCCGCTGGTCAGAGCAATTTTACCATGAT